GTGGCTGGGAGCGGGCCCCCCCCCCGCCAGTGGTCCGTCTCCACGGGGCAGCCGTGTTAGTCGGTAAAGGAGGAGTCCTAGTCCCGGGGCACCATGGAGCCTCGTGAGCTCTCGCGGGCACAGCCCACCCCTGGGGGGGCGGGATTAAATATCTCCAGAGATGGAGATTCCACAACCTCCCTAGGCAATTTATTCCAGTGTTTAACATTATTCCAGTGTTTCCTAATGTCCAACCTAAACCTCCCTTGCTCCAATTTAAGCCCATTGCTTCTTGTCCTACCCTCAGAGGCCAAGGAGAACAATTTCCCTCCTCCTCCCTGTGACATCCTTTTAGATACTTGAAAACCACTATCATTTCCCATCTTAGTCTTCTTTTTTCCAAACTAAACAAGCCCGATGCCTTCAGCCTTGCCTCAAATCTCATGTTTTCTAGACCCTTCATTTTTGTTGCTTTTCTCGGGACCTTCTCCAATTTTTCCATATCTTTCTTGAAATGTGGTGCCCAGAACTGGACACAATACTCCAACTGAGCCCTAATCAGAGCAGAGTAGAGTAGAAGAACGACTTCTTGTGTCTTGCTCACAATGCTCCTGTTAATGCAGTTAATGAAATGAAACAAACACAGTGAAGTAATTCTTCACACAACTCAAGGTCAACCTGTGGAACTCCTTGCTGGGGGATATTGCAAAGGCCAAAACAATAGCCGGGTTCTAAAAGGAACTAGGCAAGTTCATGCGGAATAGATCCATCAGTGGGTACTGGCTGGGATGGGGAGGGATGGTGTCCCTAGCCTTTGTTTGTCAGAAGCTGGGAATGGGTGGCGGATGGATCAATTGATGATTACCTGTTGTTTTAATTCCTTCTGAAGCACCTGGCACCGGCCACTGTCAGAAGACAGGACACTGGGCTAGATGGCTCTTCGGTGTGACCAGTAGGTCAGACGTTAATCAATATAATTTTGCAGACAAGTTGTTGGCCCAACTCTTTGCAGGTGGCTCGTACAATGAAAGAGACACCTGTAGAATAGGTGGGTGACCCTGAGAGGAACAGCAAAACCAACGCCCGGTGACTGCTATTTAGCAAGGGGCTGTAGGATTTCGTCGCAGAGGCTGTGTCTGTGGCGAATTTGCCCACCTGTCATTTCCCGGGGCTTACACACGGTCTAATTGAAGCCATCAGCTGCGGAGACAGCATTATTTGTGTCTCCGGCTCGGGCTCTGCATTGGCGGCGGGGTTTCTGAAATCAGCAGGCTGGCCAGCACGTGCCGTACGTGTGAGCGATAACAAGGGTCCCCTATTAGAACTGACCTTTGCAGAAATGAAAGGAGAGGGAGCCCCAACGTCAACTAAATCAAGTCCTGCCAGCGGAATGGCTCTCTCCTGGGTCGGCCTACTCTCTGCTGCCCGCTTACTTATTTACTCTTTATTTATTTACCGAGGAGGCAAGGTGACCTTCAAAGCGGCCGCTTCTCATTGCCAGCCGCGTCCCTCGCGTTTGCAGGGTGCATGCTAATTTTGGATTAGGCTCTGCAAGTGAAAGTCATACAGAGGTCGCTGCAAAGCCAGAGAATACACAGCATGGCTGTGGTGGATGCTGCCTCGAAGACTCAAGGCGGGTTCCATGCAGGGAGTGTGGGTCAATGTTCCCTCTAATTTTTTTCCATCCGTGTGGAATAAATTTTGTTAGGTGCACCAAGGCTAGTGCAGATGTGCACCATTAATAGAAACACATGCTACCGGCTGTGGGCCTGAATCTCTCCTGGGTGGCCGTCCATGTGCTCGGCTGACGGGGAACATTGGTCTCCACCCCTTCCAAGAGAGGTGATGTCTGGGAGATGGAAACATTTCAGCGGGTGCCCCTCGTGGGGGGAGAACACCAGTGACCCTGTGAACCCCCCCCTTCCCCCCCCCCCCGGCTGCCCCGTCTCTCTCCTGGCAGGGAGGTACATCGAGAATCACGGCGTGGTTCACAACATGTGGTACAACACCAGCACGGGCCAGAAGCTGCCCTATTACAACACGCAGGGCGTCTCCCAGTGGTGGGGCAAAGGCAGCCTGCCCATCTGGATCAC